AAATATTGATGAGTGCGGTTCCTTGAAAGGCGAAGTGTGGAACTCACAAACTGTCACTCTTAGGAATCTATGGTATATTGTTAGGAAGGTTATCACAATGTATTTGAAGAAAGTTAAATAGATGCACCATTGAACATGGTAACAGTTTCTATAGTTGGTATGCTCGCTCTAAAATTTGAAGATTTCTAAATAGTTTACATTCAAAATTCCAATTCTACCAATTTATTAGATTTATTCAATATCTTTTTTGCTTGAAACACTTGTTTCTATTACCAGAGGCATTTTCAATACGAAATTATTTTCTCTTATTATAATATAGCCGATACATACCATAAGAAGCCCTATGTATCATTTAGTTCTAGATTTTGCCGGTTCAAGCATCATATTACCTTGCTATACACACTAATATAAGCTCCCTCATAATAAAAGACCTCGAGCCTTCTATAATGTACAAATATATGAAGTTTTCAAGGGATCTCCTGTTGTGTTTTACTTTTTTTTATAACGTTTAATGAGAGGGGTTTTAAAAGTCCAGAAAAGAAATGCTGATATCAGTCTTTTAAGATTTTCAGCTCAAAATCCTGAAAACTGGATATTTTTGAATGCTGATATATTGATCGATGTATCCATTTTTTGATAAATAAATTGATTAAGAGAGGGTCTTTTATGATGTTCGATGCACCATTTCTCCAATATGGTCTTCTATTGCGAAAGAGTTTAATCTTTGAGGTAGTTATTGAGCACACCATTGCTTTTTTGAACAAACTTATCAGTTCTTACTTTTCAGTTTGCGTCCTATCCTGATTCTGCTAGATCAAGATTACCATTGCGATACTAAATGATATTTGCAATAAGAGCATTTCTCTGTATCAAATATCAGAAACCATAATAAATACACTAGTTAGAATCTACAGTAGAAATTTCAGATACATAAAATGCGTTGAAATATTCTAGAAAGTTTAAGAACGATTAAGGCAGTGTTATTACTGACGAGTGTTTTCTCGTTTCTAGGAATACATTCTGTAGGATTGATGCCTCTTCTCTCCGCCCCCTATCGTTCTGGAAACGTTTTCTATAGTCTTTGGGCCCTACTCGTAGGTGCTAAGGTCTACAGGGAGTGAAGAAAAAGGTGATAAGAAGACGCGAAAAGTTTGATTCAAGCTTCCACTCACTATGTGTTCGTTGGAATCATGTGAGTTCCATAATAATTCACTAAGAGTTCAGTCGATTATAAACGCTTTTGCAAAAAGCTGTTAAAATCAATTAATATTAGAGTAATCCAAATAATGGATTAAAAATCAAAACTATTTTAATTAATTTTTCTATCATAATCGATTATAATGGATTATTTTCTCCTAACCGATTTTAATCGATTACTAATGTAATTGTGCCATCTCGATTCAAAACAATTTATATAGGAGTTCCAACTTTATCACAAATGTTTGACTTTGGTTCAGTAGCAACTCCACAGTTTTCAAACACGAGCAAACCAAATAATCATGGAAAATTAGAGGTTTCCTGTTCGAATCTGGAGACAAGCACTTATCTTCGATATGTATGATTATAATGGATTATAAGGTAATAGTGGGCATAAAGTGAAAAAAAATCTGGTTTGGACCAGCTTCTACGTGATTTATAATCGATTATAATAGATTGTTTTGTACCGGAAAATCTATTATAATGGCACTATTATAATCCATATTTAATCATTAAATTTGATTTAAAACCACAAAAGTTAGATTCAATTGATGCATCGAATAATCTATTATAATCGATTATTGAGTAAAATCAATTGAATTCAATTTTTTTTATTTAAAATCAAATTTAATGATTAAATATGGATTATAATAGTGCCATTATAATAGATTTTTCAGCACAAAAAAATCTATTATAATCAAATTTTTTACAATTTTTTTTACATGGGTTCTTTGATGTGTGAATAAGACAGTACCAAATTATCTATCTGCATATTTTGTGACTCTCCGTTCTTGAAATCAGGACAACAAAATATGATAATTTTTGATGCAAATGTCTCGTAAATGAAAAAAAAAGAAAAATTACAAGGAAATACAAGACTAATTGCCTCAGGTAAAAGATGAAGGCCAAATCGTGAAAGTCGCCATTTTGCGGAACTTACTGAAGATGAACGAAAACTCATGTTGAAGGTTCAAAAACTTTTGTATCATCTCGAGACATTGATCTCTCTGACAAATTTTAAGCGAGTTTCTAATGACTCGCTGTTGACTAGATGTTCGCGACACAAAAGTACAAATGTTGTTACAGCGAAAAACACGCAAATTGTAGAAGCTAACGCATTAATTAGCTTTGATGATATAACTTGTAGCGAGGCAAGATACAAAAATACTAATGGAACATGATCAGTATTATAAAACTCGCCCAGATAAAATCTTTGTTTGACTCAATGCTAGTCTAAATCTGATGAGCATTTAGCTTTCTCATGCAGGCATTAACTTTCCTATAAATATAATATTCAAATATTGTGTAAATCACATCGTGATATTCTAAAGATTTGCTACAAATCTTAACGTCATATGAATAGATCTACAATCATTGAAAGCATTAGTAAAAGATAACTTTGAGTTTTCTGAATTTTTTTGTTTTTCAAATAAATTTCTACGTTAATAATTTCATATTTTTTTTAAATAAAAATTGATTATAAATTTCTATTTTGGTTACAATATTTTCAATGAATTATTAAACATTTTGCAAAGATTTCATCGGAAAATTTTGTCGATGAAGTTGCAACTTTGATGCAATTATATTATAAAATTGCAATTTCTTTAGCCGCTGTAGCTTCTATAGATTCACGATATGTTTCAAAAAGATTTTGTTGAATTTTCTGTGAATATGTTATTCTTGATCTGCTTCATTAATATACCAAAACAGTCCTCATATGTACTATTAAAGTATTAGACATATTGACCCGAGATTGTTCGAAATCCTTATCAATAATCAATTCAAATAATTGCGTTATGTTCTTAGATCTTTTTTTTCTCACAAGCATGCAGTTGAATTAGAAATTCGATAGATTTTGTTTAGTATCTACGAAAAAATGGATGGATAAACATAAATAAGAGAGATAACAGTGTAATGAATATTACAATATCAGTGATAATTGTGAAGACGATGTTTCATTCAATGTGAGAACTATTCACAAAAAACTTAAAGATTATTCATGAAAAACTTAAAACGTGATATTCCAATCTTTTCCCGATGTACTCTTTTTTTAAGAAGATAAAAATCAAAATCTTTTCTTTGAAACGAATGAATCATCTATGGAAACCATATGAAAGTTTGTGGCGAATTTCTTTTTTTTTTCATTTTTTTGCGGAATTGTAAGTACGTTTCAACTGCTATATAAGAACAAAGCCAAAATGATAAGCGACTAAAGAGTAATGTATCGATTTTACTGACTTTAGTTCGTTGTTACACACCTTTCAAGGCAAATTTTAGTTGGTCTTGACTTCATCGCGATCACAGAGAATTCGTCCCATTTTAGATCTATACCACCTCTACTAAGCTGTTTGTGACAGTTAACAAATTCAATTTATCATAGAAGTTCAGTAATTCGGATTTATTCCAATTCAAAATTTACATTGTAAGCATTGCTATTCACAGTATTTGTATAATAGCATTACATCTAGAAAGATTCTCAATCAAATTTAGTGACTTCTTTGTAGGTATGATTGTTCGTTTTTAGAAAACTTAAGAAAATGTCTATAAACATCTCAATATCAGAAGTTAAATTATCCTGGAGATTTGTTATCTATCGTACTAGAAAATTCTGTTTTAGAAGGAAAAGTTCTTCTTTCACGATTATTTAATGAAATCAAACACTTCTCTGTATCTCACGATGTTTCAAATTTAAAAAAAACATGATATTACTGGACGTTGCTGATGATGATGATGATAATAATATTTCAAATGATTAATGATAATTAACTGTCGAGAAACAATTACGAGTATTTCGATTATTAGAACATGATGTACTTAAAGATTTACGTATTCAAGAAGAACAAATGAGACTTAGTCAAGAAACTCGACAATTATTATCAAGTATTGAAGATCAAACAGAAATCGATTGGATAGATATTATTGCTGATTTAAAAACTAAATTTTTATTGGTAAAGATGCAATAGAAGATGAAATTCAATGTAGCTTAAGGTAAATATTTTATTTCACTGATTAAATATAGTTATTTGCTGAAGCTCTTATAAGAGAAGCATTCTAATGTTTATGGTTTGCTCATAACATGACCTAATTTGAGTTAATAAGTAGTTTCCTATTTTATTTTAAGAAAACTATTGTTAGCTATCTAAAATTCAAGTTAAGATTTTATGACTATAGTCAGGCTTTAATACTGAACAATAATGTATCTATTTCGACCATTACAAATTGAAATCGATCTATAATTCATTTCTGTATTCAGATATATTATACCCACTGACGAGCAGGACCAATTGTTTTTTGTTCCCAAGCATAAAAAAATTTTGGTTCTGGTTTCGCGCTCAATACTACATGCACTAGCAAAAAATCCGATATAATATTCCAGCTGTATCGAAAAGCTCCAGAAATCTTGCACAACTCCGCAAGAATTCTAATATTCTGCGTTGTCGATGTTCATTTCTTGTTTTAATTCACTAATACGTCTTGGATTCAGAATATTAATATGTTCGATCAATCTTGGTTTTACGAAAAAAAAAGGAATATTTTATTATCAGAAGTGTGGGAGTGGGGACTAAGAGAATATCGACACCAGCACTCTCACATTTACATTCTTTCTATTAGAAACAAATGTGATAAAACAATTTTTTTTACGATAATATGTATTCATTTTGAAAAAAAAAATATCTTGACAGTTCAATTTATCAAATAGGTCAGTTTTTTTTCTTTGAAATTTTATTTTGAACATGTAATCAAAGACGAAAAAAAAAAGATTAACTTATTCTGAAATTTAATAATACTTCGAATGTGAAAGTTTATATATCAATATTAACAATACGATGAACGAGTTCATCGAAATTATAACGAATTTTCATTGTTGGTGGTGTTGATGTTGTTGTCATCGCGCCTGTTAACTCTTGATAATTAATTAAATCCGGTGTCAAAGTCATAACACAATGTGCAAACCAATTATACGATTTAACAACTAAACATCCTTCACGTTGTAACTATAATAATAGGGGGCAAATAAAGTCAAAAATAACAAAAGAAACAGTATTATAAACTTACAAGTGCAGCTAAACCTCGATCAGATGTTACAATAATTGTACGTTTATTTTTTTCACGATTTTCAGGTTGTCGTGCTATTTCAACTAGCATATCATCAATTGTTCGATATTTTTGTTGCGCACTTGAAACTTTGACTGTACCAATTTGAGCTAATTGATTTGTTGAATCAAAGACAAGTTCAACATATGGTATATGCATTTGTTCATTCTATGCAGAAGCTATTTCTCCTAAAGTACGTTCAGTATTTTTTACCAGAAAAAACGTCATATTATTTCCATCTAAATAAACTTGTTCGATATCATGTGGCCAATCATCACGACTATTTATTGTTATATAAGCATTGTCAAAATTTTTGTTCATCTCGAGATTGAAGACGTCGTTGTCGTTCTTCTTGAGTTCGAACAATTGCCATTTCAATTGATTCATTACATTTATGAAAGATTGCTAATACTTTCATTGAATTTCCATGTACACCAGCTGAACGAAGTCGTTTAAGATTATCAATATCATCAATACTTAGTTTACATCGTTTTCTCAATGTTGATTCTGTTTCATCAGTTTCTTGTGTTGTTATATCTTGTGCTTCATTTCGATATTTATCTCGATATTCTTTTCTTTCATTCAAAAATTGTTTAACAACATCAACTTGTCCATCAGTTTTTTCTAATAAACGTATTAGAAGTTGCTTATTTTTAATTATTATACCATCACTTTCAACTTGTGCAATTTGATTTGCATATTTTGCATTAAGTTCTTCTAATTTTTCTTTTTTTTGCTGTACGACGTGATGAGTAGCATATTTTGTTTTTAATTCTTCTCGTTTTTCATGTCGAGATACACTTGAATTTTCATTATGTTCATGATGTCGTTCTTCAAAAACTTGTATAAATTTTCGAACTTGTTCAACATCACCACTAAAACGTTCCATAATTTTCAGTAAACGAATACGTCTCATTGATTGAATCGATGGTATTTCTTGTTGTAATGTCGTTACTGTTGCACCAAAACGTGTGTCAAGTGTATTCCATTTATTAATTCGATATTCTCGTTGAACAAGACGTGCATGAACCTTATTAAAAAATTTATTTTTATATTTACAAATTTAAAAGCAAAAAAAGATAAATATATTTTAACCTAAAAAAAATTCATTTCTAGTAATTTTGTACGTCGATATATAAAAATATATTGAGCAACCTCCATTCCCCCGCATGAGAGGTATTAGCGGGCTATAGAATATATTTTAAATTTAAAAAAAACAGTATCATATACCTGATTAACATCACCATTACTTCGTTGTAAAAGACGAATTAATTTGTCTTTTGATTCTTAAGGAAAACGGTCTTGAAGAACGCGTAATTGTTCATCATATTCTTGTTGATTTGTAGTCATAGTTGTAGTTTGTTACGAATAATAGGAAATACAAAAAAAACAACAGAAAAATCTTGCTTTTTATACTAGATAAATGAATAATTGTCAGAAGAGTTGTGCAATTATGATCAAATAGTATTACTAATTCTTTGTTTATTACATCAATAAAAACTTTAGTAGATGACTCGGTATATTAATATATTTACATAGGATCGTACTCTGAGATGATGAATAAATAATCCGAATAAAATATTTGTATTTAACAAAACTTTATGAGATATAAAAAACTAAAACAAACACTAATAATTAAAATGCAAAAATGATTTCAACTTTCTTGAATTTCATTAGCCGCAATATCTTTAAAAATCAATGTTCGAAATAGAAATGTTTTACACAAAAATAAAATAATCTATAATAATATAAATAAAAACTTTAGTTTATCATCATGAGTGATTTTCTGTGTTTCTATAATACACATATTAATCAACAAAAAAAAGAAAACTGTTGTTTTTGTTTATCTTTTAAGTGTCAAAGATGAAATTATCCATTATTTTAATATGTTCATTTGAATGACTACCTTTGTTTATTAATATTTTACCAATATGATGGTTTCACAGTTGTTCAATCTGTTGAACAATGCCAGAATCATCGACAATAACAACACAAACAATACATTCAACAAGTGTGCCTTCAATTTCAATCGACATTTCAAATATTGTCGGTAATTTTTATACAAATCTTCATTCATATATATATAATCAATATTTTCAATCACTAAAATATAGATCAGGATTAATTAATATTCTTTGTAATATATTGACAATACAAAATATTGATAAAACAAATTTTCTCTTTATACTTGATTGTTTAATAACCAATTATCAACATATAGCTGATATACAATTTTAAACAAGATTTATTATCATTTATTAAACAAACATTTATAACAAAGGATAATAATAATAAAAATCATATATTACTACCAATAATGCGATTATTTATTGTACATGTTGAATATAGATCGAATATTTTAATTTTAACATTAGTTAAATGATTAACATGTTTATTAAATTTTCTTGTTACACATCTTACATCAACACAACATATTTAATATATGGTGATTTATTTATTGATTTACTTTCAAAAAATGGTTAAACGATTTACATCATTATGAAAAGAAATTGCTGACATTCTTAGTCGATCATCAACATCATTAATTGTTTCAACAAATTTTTTTCATCAATTACAATTATGGATACAAAATACAGATGACATACGATTAGTTTTATTTAAAGCCTCTCTCTCAGAACATCAATTTTTTCGAACAATAATTAAAGTTGAGCTTTTATCATATAAAGATGCGATGAAGTTTTCTCTCTCAGAGTATAAATAACTTTTCAAAAGAAGACTAAATTTTAACACAGTTTCGAAGAAGATTTTCATTATCCTACTACCATGTTTTTCGAAAGACTACCTCTTTACTTGCATCAACATTGAATAAACATTTTTATATAATCTAGGCACGACCCGTAATGCTAGCTTACGTCATCTGTTGCAGAGTTCTATTTAGAGTTCAAATGTTGGGGTATGTCGTGAAACACAAGGGTGTGTGAGTGGGGGGGGGGGGGGGGGGTGAGTGCGTGTGGGTGTAAACATTTATCTTCTATTCATTTACAGCCACACCCACTCATACCCCACATCCACACCCTGTATATAGATGACATTAGCACAAAGTCTCTTTGTAGAATGATGATTTTGCATGAGATAATAGAACGATTTTTTTGCAGAAAAAATAATGTTTTACACTTGTTTTGTGTTTGAAAAGTATTTGTTTTCAGTCCGGAAGCTTTAACCAAAACTCAATTGAGGTTCACTATTAAAGGTTGAATTTGTCTACGATGGCGTCTATTGACGAATATAGTATTTTTTAGATGAACTCCGATTTTTCGCCATTGATGCCAAAAACGAACATCTAATGCTCCAACAATTATTGGATCACATGCTGTTTCCACAAGACTAAGTAGCATAACGACATTCATCACATTCTGCTGACGAAATGATACTTGAAAAATAATAACATATGGTAACCAAAGTACACCCCAAATAAAATAAAAACAGAAAAATTGAATGACTAATGAACGATGATATTTTTCACGAGCTGAAACATGATGTTGTGTCGATTGTAAAACTGATGTTAAATGAACATGATGAACACTGGCATAAATTAACAGCATGTTCAAGGACATTGGTAATGCACACGCGAAAATTATATTAAATATTTGAACATAGATATTCGTATAAAATACTTCACAACTATCTCCAATAGGGTCTTTTATTTGAGTCCAACCAACAAGAAATTCAACGATACAAACAACTAATGGTATTAAATAGATACAAAAATGAGTGAAGATCAATAGTTTCATATGCACTTGGTATACATTACGATTGTATGCTATTTGTACATAACGGCATATATTCAAACCTAATAGAATATATATTTCAGTTATATTGAAATAATTATCCAGTGTTGCTTCAAAATAGCAGTTAAATAAAGTCCATGCTCTGCTTGGTTGGCATTCTGTAGATGTTGTATGAATAATATAACTAAACAAGAAGCGAAAAAGAAGAAAAAAATCAGTGAAGAGATACGAATAGATCCATAGGAGGTTTTTCTGTCGAAGACGTGGAGAAAAAATAATTTGAAGCCAAAGTATCAAATGCATTAATGAAACAATAATATGAATATAAAGTTGAGGTTTTGTATTATCAATAACAGCTTGAGTCCACAAGAAAGGTTTTGCACATGTGATGTTCGTATTGTTGAACAGGAATATGTTTATTGTTACACTATCCATCTGCAAGAAGAAAACTTTGCTATTAAAATGTCAATTGTTCAAAGTAATTTATAAAAATATCAGTCCTTAGGAAAATCTCTGGCGTATATCATCGTGATGATGGTTAGGATTATTTAATGAAGATAAAGATATATTGTCTAATTAAAAGCCAAATTATGCAATGGTTGGTGATCGAAATGTTTTGTGGAACTCACGTATACTTTCGAAGAAAATAGTGAGTGTAAGTTTTAAGGTCAAGGTTTTGCGACTTCTCCCCCATTCCCTTCCCTTACAGACAGGCTCTCATTACAGACCATAGCAACGGAAGAGAACATTACAGACATACCTTCCTTTATAGACCTTAGCGACTAAGTTAAAAATAATGGATATATATATATATAACAGTTTCATTTGCCATATAACTCAATGCTTCTTATAATAAATATGTAAAATTAAAGAAAAAAGAATTGTTAAAAATGAAAAATACTGAGCGAATAGCAAGAAAGAAAACGAAAAATAAGGGCGCCTGTCAGAAAATTAAAACATTCGTGATTTTATACTATCTATATTTAATATTAGTATAATGAAGCTGAAGAATATACGTGAGTTCCACATTTTAACCCCTTTGAGGCTGCGCTAACAAGCTTGTTTTTCATAAAATTAATTGTCATTAACAAATGCTAATGAGAGTTATTTGATAATTTTCTTACTATTTCGACATTAATTTTATCAACCGTGATCGGCACTAATAAATTTAATTATATGAGCCTTGACGTGTTTTTTTAGAACGAGGTGTTAGTTTTTTTTTAACACAGTGACTCGATTTAGATGTGACTAATGTGCAAGGTACTAAGGAAAATCTTATTTAAACTCATGAATATAACTAACTAAATACCACTTCACTTCACGGTCGTAGACCGCCTGGAGAAACAATGCACCAAGATTTATAGAAGTTCTCTTAATTAATTAATTTCTCGAAAAATTGATACTTTAATTAGTATATTTACATTATAGTATGGTTAGTTTTTAAGGATTTGAACTCAAAATCTTAACAGACTGAGATCAATATAATTTCTAATCTTTAAAGATCCTAATAGTTTGTTCCACATATTCACAAGCTTTTTGTTTTTTTTCAAAATCATTTAAATTAACTGTTATGAATATAAATGAGACTAAATAGAAGATGTTTGAGAAATCATCTTATGCTTAGAAATAATAGATAATCCGAGATTTTCTCCAGCTGAAAAGTGGCTTATTTATTTAAGGACAAACTAGACTGACTTATTATTATCTTCACGGTCTCAGTCTAATTCTGATTCGATCATCTGATATTCAAACGAACTCGAGGCGAAAACAAACATTTCAAAAAACATCTGCTGCTTCTCACTCAAATAAATAATCAATCCATGTAATGGATTCATATTAATGATACATCGTATTATGATTCAATCATATATAAATTAAACAAATCACATTGAACCATAAGGTTTAGACAGCATCCTGGTGGAACTGAAAGAATTTAGAGATTTTATAGATGAGAAATTAGGGTTAACGATGTAACACTGGTGCCAGAACAAGGCTTCCAATCAAACTATGATTATAAAGTAAGGAAAGCCTAGATAATTAATACTAAACACTCATGTATAGCTTAACAAGCGATGATTACAACAAAATAGAGTCCTGCAACGGGGTCGGGTACCCGGCACCCGACCGGACCCGAAACTGTGGTCCGGGTACAAATTTGCCGGGTCGGTTCGGGTGCCGGGTATAAAAAAAAATGCCGGGTCGGGTGCAGGATTTGAGCATACCCGGTACCCGACCGGTAGTCGATGACATCTTAACAAGTAAAAGTATTTTACACTCTAGGATAGAGTCCTGCAACGGGGCCGGATACCCGGCACCCGATCGGACCCGGAACTGTGGTCCGGGTACAAATTGTTACTTGATGAAATTAAAATAATAGTATATTTTGCCATATGAAATAAAAGTTTGAAAAGTGAATATAATTTTGACAATAACAATCAAGTGCTGACTATTTCAAGGCTGGGCCGGGTCCGGTCGGGTACCGGGTAGAGCTATCCGGGTCCGGTTCAGTTCCGGGTGGAAGATGACCGGGTCCGGTCGGATTCCGGGTTTGAAAAAAATGAGCCGGGCCGGGTTCGGGTGCGAAAAGTAGTACCCGTGCAGGACTCTACAACAAAACCTTCAAATAAAATATCTCATCTGAAGTACAGCAGACAAAACAAGAACTACCTGTTAAAATAATCACAAAAATGTAAGAAAAGTATCAACTTACTGATAAAATCTGGTCTTGATGCTACTCATGTATTGTTAGTGACTATAAGTTTGATTCAATATTATATGCGATGTCTAATTTAGTGAAATTCAGTGAAGTTCAATGCCACCAAGTGTAGAATTCCTTGATCAATACCTTCTATTATATGTCATTTCATATCATAATGAATTTACAATGTTTCATGACTGAGCTAAATTAATGCGATAAAGCTGTGTCACAGTTGGTGTGTGTCCCAAGAAAATCATTTGATTTGAATGGTACACTTATTATCTAAACTTTTAGATAACTTTGAAATCTTATGAGAAAAGGAAATGCTCTAGACTGACACTTCCGACTGAATACCTTGTTCAGATAGAATTAAAATTCGATGACACTGAGAAGAAGCAAAGATGATGAGCCCTCCTATCGAGGTTGTACGTGCTTTAATAAAAGGTTGAAATGCGCTCCAATATTACAACAAGGAATTGAATAAAACTAATTTCAGAGAAAAAAAGATTACTCGATATTGAAGTGTATGTATCTATAGCAGTTGATTGCATGAAACCCCTTGAGAATGGGAACCACATATATGTATTTTGGTTCTAAATCAATTCGTAACTGATTTTGGGCACGTCTCTTATGACACTGTAATGGTATAAATGCTAGTAGAGGTCATACATTTACCATTGTCGATATTTTGTAATCCTATCATCTGCATTATGCTCTTGTTAACCTTCTATCTTCCTATATTCAAACCCATTACTTCTATTCTCTTGCCTTACGTCATCATTCAATGAAGACACACTATCCATTTCTTCGCGTATATTTGCGTGTCTGTGTCATATTTTAATTCGATTTTCTGACTTTCAACTGCAACGGATGCGTCAACAAATTGAGATGTATGGAATATTAAAAGCATCAATAGGTCGACCTAGTTCTGGAGACAATCCTATTAGACTAACTAGTGGCCATTTTTCATCACTCATACTTTCAACAACGGCAAAATAAAAATCTTCAAAAGCAATGTTTAGTTGGTGAAAATACGACCGTAGCTTCTCAAAAGGGGCACTTCATAAAAAAACTAAGCTATTTAATAAATCTTCATAGCTGTTTAAATAAACTACTCGTTAACTTGAACAAAATATATACGATATACTAAAAATCGAGACAAAAAATTTTAAAAAACCAATTGGTGTCTAAATCTGGAAACTCTTAACTTATGAAATATACTCATAATAAAGAGTGAGATCCTTTTTGTAATAGATATCATTATATTTTACATAATACTGACTATCTTTACATAATGTATTATAAGTAGTTAGTTGCTTCTGAAAATACTAAGCATAAACAAATAGTTATTACATAAACAAGCAGCTATAAAACTTAAATAATCAATATTGAATGTCTCTAAATAGTACTACTTATAGATCACTAACTGTCACGCAGATATTTTCATCAAGATATTTTTTCATTTGCCTCTCCTCCCCTGTTGCTCGAAAACAACAAGTAACGTTAGATAAGACCCTGAGATCAAGTTTCAAAACGAAGACTATTTTATTTATTAGTACAGCGAATAATTGAAACGTGCTCCACATTAAACAGCTATTTATGCAAATATTTTCGAAAGTCTGACTTTAAATAAATAGTGAAGACGTATTTGAATACCTATGAACATTTAAATAAGTGCAAATATTAGTATAGCCAGGAACGCTTTAAATAGTCATAGAAGAATTTAATAGCTATGCAAGAAATAAAATAGCAATGGATGAATGCAATAACTCAGGAAGCTTTAAATAGCTATGAAAGAGTTAAATAACCATGGAACAATTAAATTTACATGAATGAATAAAATAGCTACGAAAGAGTTAAACAGATATGCAAGAAATAGATAGCTATGAAAGCTTTATACATCTATGAAACAATTCAATAGTCATAGAAGAAATAGATTACTCTGGAAGAATTACATAGTTATGAAAGAGTTAATTAGATATGCGAGAAATGAATAGCTAAGAAAGAATCAAATAGCTGCCGAAAATTTAAATAGCTTTCACAAATTGTATAGCTATGAAGGTTTAGAGAGTGATTGAAATTTAAATGGCTATGGCGAATTGAGACTAGCTGTATGATTCGCCAAGTGTTTTAGGTTAAGAAAAATTGTATCTATTTTCAGAGTGAGTCAACACAATAAGCAGAGCTGAACTAATAGTTGGCTTCAGATAGGAATGTGATAAATATAATGTCGGACTTTGTCTATCTCGTAGTTTTGGGATATCAATGTGGATGTGCCTTCAGAAAAGAGTCGTATCCATCCAGC